GGGCTGGCTTTGAACTGTGATCCTCAGATCTCAGCCTCCTGAGTAGCTAGGATTACAGGTGTGAGCCACCAGTGCCCGGCATAAGTCTACAATCTTAAATGTGGAAGGTGAATTTATGAAGGATCATGAACTTGTGCACATTTATCATATCAGAGTGATTCTTTCTACTTTATAAATTAAAAATAAATGGCACTTAGCCATGACTTATTCTTATCTCCTTTCCAATGCGCTGGGAAGGGATGTGAAGGGTAAACAAAAGGAGGAGGCTGCAATGCTTGGTAAGAAATGTACGCATTATCCTGCCCATGTAATTGTAACCCCTCTGTACAGTATGTTCACAAATAAAATAAAAAAAAAAAGAAAAAGTGTTCCTTCTTAGAAATGGGGACAGAGCACTTGCTTCTCTTTCCACGCATTTTTCTCTGAAGGCCTACTGAGATCTGAGGTCTAAAGCATCAGTGTGAATTACTAGTACATGTACTAGACCTCTTGAGTCATAGATCTCTTTATTTCAGAAATGTCTTTCTCTTTTTATGTCAATATAGACAGAAGCCTCGCCGAGTAGAAGATAACTTAGACATGCTAGTTGAATGATGCTGAAACTTGATAAAATACGATGAATAGAGTTAAAAGAAGGCAGAATTTAGGAAGTTGGAAATAAAGTGTATTTGATAGATGCTCCTAGAATAAAAAGAAGCAAGGGATAATTGGTCAGACAAATAAGGCATGGAAAGAGACTGATGGAATGTCCAGGAGGAGAATTTCTAAGTCCCTCAAGACAGAAAGGATCAATGGTTGACAGAAGTTAGTAGGACAGGAGATGAACAGGGACTGTTAATGTGTATATAGATTTTTATGGGATGATTAAAATATTCTGGAATTAGTAGTCATTACATAACTCAATAAATATGTTAAGAACCCTTGAGTCATATACTTTACAATACTAGGAAATGAACTACAAAGAAAATTCAAGAGGAAAGATATTTAAATACAAAAAAAATCCCCAAACAGGTATATCTAACACCAGAGAGATCAGAGAGTGATAGGAATGTAATAGAATTGGTGATGAAATACCCATGGAAGGCTTCAAGAGAATGCTTTCAATAAAATGATCATTCACAGCTCCTCTTCTTTCTCCACCATAGGTATATAAATTTATAAAATTACTCTTTCACATATTCCTATCTCTGTTGGTAGAGTGTCTAATGGTTCTCCTGGATAGCTTCAGTTTAGATAAGCTAAAAAGACATTCTGACTATGCTTTAAAAATTCAGAATGTGTGTGCTTATACTGCCAATGAGGCTTGTCTGTCATCTTGCCGTTATTGTAAAATCAAACCTGTACTCCAAGATCAGTTTAGTTCATATGATGATCTTAGTGCCAAACATCATTTGAAGTGTCCCTAAAGAGAATAGGAGTTAGCTGTCTTGAATACGTATAATTTTTGGTAGTAGTGTTATTTGTTACATGTCTTGCCTTATGGAAGTTCACTGATAGAGTCATGAGCTACTGACAGTGGGCCAATCACGTATTATTTCTGAGCCACATTTACTTGATTTTGAAGCTAACGTGTAGTAAAGTTTAGGAGAAAAACAGATGAGACTTATTGAAAGCTATTAATCATATTTAAATATATGTAAAGATATAAGTCAGCATTATATCTTTTAAAAAAAACTCTAGACCCTTGTAAGACTAGTCCTCTTTAATTCCTTCTTAGTAGACCAGAGACTTCACATCCAAATACCACTTATTAAGGCTTTCCTTGTTACATACTTGCTGAACTAACCTTTATTTTAACAAGGAAACTATTCTACTGCCATGATTGACCTCTGTATTGACTTCATTTTTGTTCATTTATTTTATTCTGCTCCTCATGTAGGTTTTCCAAATGAGCCTGCTGCAGTTATTGCCCTTGGTACCATTAAGGAATGGCTGGCCAAGAATCACCAGGAGGTAAGAGGACCAGCATGGTCTATGGCATTCTAGATCATATAATTTGTGATCTTCATTTTAGAAAAAACAATACACAAATTTCATTACTGTCTGCTACACTACTCATTAAGCCAATGCTAACTCGCTATTTCTCATTTCAGTTACATAGGTGATTGCATATTTTCCCAATTGAAGTAATTATATTGATCAGTTTGTGGTTAAGATGAGAAAAGTAATTACATTCACCATAATTTCATCTTTATATTTTTGCATCATGTGGTTCTATTCAGGAGAATAATGTATTTCATGAAGAATAATGGTTCAATCTGGCTGTTTTCCTTAAAGAAATGAGTTGTCTTTGTTGGCAGGGAATTCTTGGTATAAAGTAAATTTTGATATCCTATTCTGCCTTCATCTATAATGAATCACTAAAGTTATTTGTGTGAGATTGTCATGGACTTGGCTAATTTTTAACTATATCAGTATGACCAGAGAATTTGTGTGTGTGTGTATGTGTGTGTGTGTGTGAAACTGTAAGTTTCTGTCAGAATATTTTCTGTGATTCCGATTCTCTCAGGATATATTCAATGATAAACAGGAGGACTACTCTAGTAAACAAAGCAACAGAACAACTAAAGATTTGGATGGAGCTTTAGGTTTCAGAAGTTTGTCAATTTACATATTATTGCAAATGGATTTCAGGCAATGCACACACTTGAAGATTTTTCTTTCAATTTTGTCTCCTCAGATAGTAGCATAAGGGTTGCAAGAACTTAAGTTTCCTGATGGACTGTGAATGTAGTTTGCTTTTTGGATAGGAGATGGATTATTCAGAAATGTGTGGGTATGGAAAATGCCTATCAGAATTTCTAAGAAGTAACTCTTGGTTTCTTAATGTGTCTAAAGAAACAGCAGGGCTGGTAATATGGCTCAAGTGATAGAGCATGAACCCTGATTTCAAAGCCCACTATTATAAAACAAAGTGTCATTTTTAATGATGGCAATGTCAACATTTCTTGATCAGATATATGAAAGTAAGACAGCATAGCCAGCTATATCCATTTTGATGCTTGTTACTTTCTTCCTGTCTTACTTTGAAATATATAAATGTGATAACTTCATTTTAGAAGACAAATTACCTCAAAAAAGCAAAATAAATTAGCTAGCCTGCAAAGTATGCCCTTAACACAAATTATTTTCATTATTACAACAACCTTACAACAAATCTAACATCAGTATTGTTGTTCACATCTTCATCCAGTGTCAAAAGGTTAATGGCACGTTGAAGATTGGGAGGTGTAAGACAAGTGGTTGAGTCAGTTCTCATGGTGAAGCAGACTTTCCAATGTGGAATGCCACTGAATCCAGGAAGAATTTGAACAGCTTTAAAAGCTAGTTTTCTTCAATATATCTTTTGGTCATAGAAAATGTTCCTTACCTGTACCATCTTTGCCAAAGAGGGACATGTTTCATGAGAGGAAGTTGAGAGACAAATATATTAGCACATTTGCATAATTTTCACTGAGTCATAACCCAAGAGTATCACCACTAAAGGAAGTTCATTTGTACTGTCGTGGTATGTTATAGATACTTCTTATAGGAAAGTGATGATGAAAAGAAAACATATAAGTAATATTTACAGCTCATTGACAAATTCCAGTAATAGGCTCTTTCAAAGGTTGCTTTCTATAGATGTTGTTTTTATTCTGATGTTTGCTACTTAATTCACTTGCTTTCCCTTTGAGTCCAGTCCTTTGATTATATATCCATTCTTATACAGTTCTTGGATCCCTTGTAGAAATTCTAGGTAATGTGGAAGGGAAAACATAGGTTAGTTATTTCGACTTTACACATATCCTATACTGATTTCCTTTTACAGGACACCTTGTTTCCATATGCACTGACTAGTTTGAACGAGTTAATTTGAACACATCAGATTTTACTGAATAAATGAATTATAAGTAGTACTCCATAGATGGAAGCTGTACAAACTGATTATCTAGCAGTGTATTTTTGTTCTTTTAAAATAGATGAGGTGAAGGATTTACAAAGGGATATTGCTTCTAGTTCAATTGTCTCTTCATTGAAATATTGTTTTGACATCTTGATTATTTCAGCTATTTATTCATTCATTTGCTTGTTTGATAAATATTTATTGAATCATCCCAAAGACCAGACACTTCTTTTTATATACCAAGGAGAGAGAGCACTGTAAAACAAACAATCCCTGCCGCATGATTTCCATGGTCGAAGTAGAGGAAAGTGAATTAAATAAACAAATAAACTTCAAAGAATGATTTACAAAATAAAACATGATAATTATATCGTGAGTTGTTGGAGGATGTGGTTTTAGAAAATACAGAATCTCCTCTGAGGACATAATCTTGGGAGAAACATTTGTACAATGGGAAGGAGTAAGCCAAAACCATACCAAGGTTGTGAAGTAAAACAGTCAAACGGAGGGAGCAACAAGAGAAAAAGAAAGAAACCTAGAGGGAGAATGGGCTTACTGTTTTCAAGTGTTGGTAAAAGAACCACTGTGCTGGGGATTTAAAATAATAATGGCAGAAGACAAATTTGGAGATGGGTTGAAGCTAGAAAATAGGATTTTGAGGTTCATAGATAGAAAAATTGTTTGGAAGATTTTAAGAAGGGGAGTAACATAATCTTTATCACCTTTAAAAAACAAGTCTGAGCCGGGTACCAGTGGGTCATACCTGTAATCCTAGCTGCTCAGGAGGCTGGGATCTGAGGACTAGGTTCAAAGCCAGGGCAGGAACCTCAACTCCAGTAAACTAGTCAAAAAATCTGAAAGTGGCATTGTGGCTCAAGTGGTAGAGCTCATTTCTTGAGCAAAAGAAGCACAGAGATGGAGTCTAGACCCAGAGTTCAAGTCCCAGACCAGCTACCACCCCCCCAAAAAAAATCAAGTCTAGCTCTTTCAGAAAATGACCAAACTAGGAAAAGAAAGTATGAAGCAGGTCCAAGCAATAGATGGATGCTTTGGGATACAATGATTGAAGAAAAGGCAGTGGCAACCATGGAGTTTGAGATATGCTTTAAAACAGGGCCAACAATATGTGGACATTTTTTTCAGTATGCACAGACTAGATTATACTGCAGTAATAAACAACCCTCTAGGCTCAGTGTCATAAAAGAGCAAAGATTTGTCATTCACAAGATTATCTATCTGAGTCTACAGAGGACACTGGATTAGTCAGATCTGCCATATAAAATATCATTTATTGTATGACAGGGAAATGCAGTTCTTTTGTCAAAACCCATTATATTTCCTTTTTCAGAGAAAGGTACCCAAAGACATTGTTCCAGGAGACAAGAAAACACAATTCTTTCATATGTTTAGAATAGGAAAATTGAGTATCAGATACTAGTAGTGATACTGTTGTTAAAGTGAACCTGATATGGCATATGACAAAAAAAGCACCAAAAAAAACTGTTTTCAAACTGTACCCTGGGTAAATGTTGGTGCATTGACATGATCAGGAAAACTGTGAAAATAAGAATTATGCTACTTCTAGTTATGTCTCTTATGATTCTAATTATCCAATGAAGATTTCAAAAAGACATGCTGGCTATTTGAGCTCAAAGTTCAATATAAAAGGGACAAAGACAGTAATGGTGAAATTGAGTAGTTCATCACAACATTAATTTAGGTGGAGGTTTACTTTGATATTACTTGAAATGAATAGGAATGTATGTCTGTGTATGTGTATATATATAAATAAGGATATAATATATTCTTTAAGCCAGCTTAAAGAAGAATAAAAAATAAATAAGATATATATATATATGTATAGTGTGTGTGTGTGTGTGTGTGTGTGTCTTGTAGTTTAAGAAACTGATCTACATCAAGGTCTCTTAAGGATCCTGGAATCCCTAACTATACAAAACAATAATCTCTCTCTTTCTTTCTTTGTGTGTCTTTCCTTCTCCCTCTCTTGTTCTCTCCTTCTTTCCCTCCCCCTCTACTTCTCTCCCTCTCACTCCATATTTATATTATTATTAATATTAGTTATAATAATATTAATATTTTGTGCATTATTCCCTAAAGCTATTTACCAGTTTACACATGATTTTATCATGACTGTCCATTTATGAGTCAATAATTTGTGTTTGAGTGAAGGCCAGAATTGAGTTTGGTGGGTAATGTTGTATGTTCTTGGACTCTAACTTAATCAGATCCTTAAAGTTTTCCTTTTGAAGTATGTAAAATTAACATGCTATACGTCTTCCATTAATGTCCATAGTTCTCTTAGCTAAGATAGTATATGATTTAATGATGCACAGTATATGATTCAATGATGTTTAACTTCCACACACCACAAATAATGTCATATAATAGTGAGTGTTCACATTTCACCATTTACTTATCCTTTGTTTCCTATACTATTAGTAGTAGACACATTTTATTACCCCAACACAATAGTTGGTTCATTTCTCTATAGTTTTGCAATTCACTGCCAGCCAGTGTGGACAGACACTTCCATACCCTGCCTTGGAATCATTGAGACTGACTAGGAAAATCAAGTTTTATCTTCTACTTTATTATAGAAACAGACAAGCAAAACAAGGGGCTGTTACGGAAATGAACAGTGGAAATGTGGCCCAGACTTCTAACTTGGGGTGGCTGCTTCATGTTATCATACACAGTTTCATGCATTCCTCATTTTTCATGCAATCTAAAAATATCATTTCACAAATACATTGATTTTCTCCACTCCACAGCTACCCTATTCATATTTGGAAGTTGGCCCAAGAAATGATTTTTTTTACAATGCCTGTTCTATGGTCCTACTCCAGGGACTCATAAGGAATTTGGCTATTGATCTCCAGAGCAATATACATATTTTTAATTTATTTTTCTTATAGAAAGCAGAACAGAATGCCTTTGGCCTTTCAAAGCTACCAATGGCCTGGTACTAGAATGCATTTATAAGTTATTGAGGACATACTCAGTATTTAAAATTCCCCAAAGGAACAGGCATCGTACAATGTATAAC